CCCCGCTAACCGCGGTTGCGGGAGCCTCCGCGGATTCCGGGACCGGCGACTCGGGCAGCGCAGAGATTCAGGTGGATCCCATCGGTACTCCCAGGCTCACCGGAGCGCCGGAGACAGCGGCGAATGCCAGCAAGTCGGCTGTCAAAACCCCCACCGGGAACAATAAGCAAACCGTGAAGCTGTTCACGAAAGAAAGTCTCGATAGGTTGGAAAACAGAACAGTGCAGCTCGTCAGGGATTATGGATTTCAACCGAAGAGACGGATGTCCGTTGAGGATGGTGCGGTGCTTCCAAACAAATACGAACCTTTCCCCACTGAACTTTACGGTAGACCACTCGAGGAAATCGACAACTTTATATATGACGAGGTAAGTACTCGAGGGAAGCGGGGTTTTATGACCGTATGTGCGTTTTTGCAGAAGCATAGGATTTTGTGTACTTACGTTACTGTGCTATGATCTTCTTAGGAGCAACTGCGGTATAGGCTTCCTTCGGATAGACGGTAATCTAGGGATACATACCACTGCTTGTTTTCGAGCTTAGGAAACCAAATATATGATTTTGATGTTTTATACGGTCTTATATCAAGTTTATGGGTTCTAGAGGTTTAGTAATCTCAAACTTTTATACTTTATTTTGATGTTTTTAAGCTACAAATTTTTAAATTTAGAAATTTTCCGTGTCAGAGTTTTAAATTTGTAAATTTTCTGAGACACAAATTTTTACACTTAGAAACTTTCTAAGCACATATTTTTAAATTTACAAATTTTTTATAATCTAAAATTGTAGTTTGCAAATTTTTTAATAATCAAATTTATAAATCTTCAAAAGTTTAAATTCTATAATTCCTAAATTTGTAAATTATGTTACCAAATTCCCAAAAATTGTAAATTGTAACTCCATGATGTTTAATTATTAGATTCCCAAATTACCTAATGGCTAAATTTGCCAAGTCCTAATTTTCCAAATTTGAAATCTCCTAATTCCCAAATTATTCTAGTTTCTACATTCACAAATCAAATAAAAAATTGACTATATTTTTACTATGTTTTTTTATATAAAGTATTTACTACCAGTATATTATTCAAAAAACAATAAGTTAAAATTACTAGGGCCCAATTTACTATAAAATCTAATAAAAATAAAATTATATTTGTCAAAACATAATAAAAACAAAATCATAGATTTATAATAAAATTAATAGTATCAGTATTAAAACTAGTATTAGTGTTATTAGTATTACAATTATTATTAATATTAATATACAGTACTATAATACTATTAAAGTATAAAAAAATATTAAAACATAACTTTTATCCACAGACAAAAAAAATTGTATATAAAATTAACAAAAATTCCATTAGAGTTCTAATTTTTCTCTTTTACTGTGAATTATTTCTTTGCCAATTGTTCTTCATTAATTGTTATTAAATCTCTGCTAAATATTCTCCTCTAATTTATACTATTTCTCTTCTGATTATTCTGCTTTAATTACTTTATTTCTCTCATAATTATTCTCTTTACATTTATAGTACTTAATACAATAGTATTATAGTACTTAATGTTTCTGGACCCATAAAAACTCCTTTAGTTTTTATTGTTTTTTCCCACTTATTCTTCTGCCATTTTCATATTTCTTTATTTCTATAAAGACATAACCTTAATGTTTATAAATCCATAAAATTTCTTTAATTTCTGTTATTTCTCTCCTAATTATTTTTTCTTAATTTTTGTTATTTCTTTATTTTTATGGACATAACCTTAATGTTTCAGAATCCATACAAACTTCTTTAGTTTCTATTATTTTATTCTAATTATTCCTTTATTTTTATAAAGACATAATCTTAATATTTTTGAACCCATAAGAACTCCTTAGTTTCTATTATTTCTCTCCTAGTTATTTTCCCTTAACTTTTATAATTTTTTTACTTCCATAAAGGTATAACCTTAATGTTTCTGAATTCATAAAAAAACTTCTACAGTGTCTACTATTTCTCTTCTAATTATTCTCCTTTAATATCTATCACTTCTTTATTTCTATAAAGACATAACCCTAATGTTTCTGAACTCATAAACAAACTTCTTCAATTTCCACTATTTCTCTCCTAATTATTCTCCCTCAGTTTCTATCATATTTTCTATTTCTACAAATACGTATCCTTAACGTTTCTGAAACCATCAAAAAGATCTTCAAAAGCTCGAAGTTCGCAGTTTGAAAAACATCTGGCTTCCTGTTTCACGTCCATGAATCCAATCATGAGTTAGGTTAGGTTTATTGCAGCACAGGGTTCACCGATAAATAAATACGTACCTGAGAAATGGTACAGATTCTGAGACAGGTGGCTAATATGAGTGCTCATAATATTTTCATAAGAAAATGCAGCAGTGCTAAAGCAATATTTAGAACTACTAAAACTGATGACGACGTCGTTCGCATGTGATTGCCACTCACGATCGTAAAACACCATTATCGTCTTGCTTATGGTTTATACCGTCATGGCGTGAACTTCTTGGTGCCCTGGATACGACTCACGCGCTTGGCGCATGAGGCACGCTTACGCTTTTCATGATTTTTGAGTTTTTGGTGAAGAAATTACTTGTTTAGTTTCTTTATTATTTTTGTACTGTACAGAGATTGTTGATTTATCTTTTTTTTAATGGTTGAAGGTCTTAAAAGTACTGACAATTATGTACAATTTTTTAAAATTCTGTGAAATTCTATACACTTCTTCCAAATGTAAAATTCTATAAAGTTCTGTTAAATTCTATAAAATTCTATGAAAGTTTACATGATTTTATAAAAATTTGTAAAATTATGTAAAATTCTGAAAATTTCTATAAAATTCTGTACATTCTGTGAAGTTCTGAGAAATTCTAGGAAGTGCAAAAATTTTGTAAAATTTTGAAATATGAAAACTTTTATAAATATAAGAATGAGAAATTCCTTTGAATTTAGAAGTTCAAGAATTACAAAATATGAAGACAAAAAAATTGGAAGATACAAGATAAGTACTAAAATTGAAAAATTCTAAAATTAGAAAACTTAAAAAATTTAAGACTCAAAATTAAAAAATTTCAAAACTCAGAAGCTTAAAAATTAAAAAACTTGAAAATTGGGAGATTAAAAATTTAAAAGTGTCAAAATTTGAAAATTCTAAAATTGGAAAGCTTGAAAACAGGAAAATTAATCTTGTAAAACGTCACTGAGTCAAACATATTAAATATTATTAATATACTCATCAATATGACACTAATATTCTCTATAAATCCAACTTGTCTCAAAAACACAATTACTTAACTTTAAACAAAATTTTCCATTCGAATTTCAAGCATACCTTCATGTTAAGAATTTTCTCAAATTTGTTCATCATATTATAGTACGTCTATTTTCATAATAAGTAATAGTATCGACGAATATTTTCCTCAAGTATTCGTAAATGAATCATGAATATAATAGCAAAAGGCTTTTAACTTTTTTCCCTGCTATTTTCCGATATTCAATTAAACACAAATGGGGTCTCATTTTCCGTGGCGTTGTTCTGCTGCTTTGTGCTGCTTCTTGCTATTTAGGGAGAGTGATCATTGAACTGTTGGTAAATATCGATACATCATTCGCTTAATATGCTTTAATCAGTCCTTTTACGTTTAAATAGAGCACTATAAATATTCGCGGATTTTAACGTAATTAATTTTTCGTGTCTATAGAACTTTTTCTTTGATCAATCACTGATTTTAATTGTATTTATTGACATGAAGTTTATAGACGTTCGATGAGTTACTTTTAGGTTAGGAAAAACGTCAACACGGTATAGGAAATAAATGTCAAAAAGATTTGAAATACATAAGAACATTGGGAGGACAAAGTAACCATTACATTATTTATTATCTTATTAACTATTTTAGTCTATTATTTTATTAACTATCGTATTTATTATTAGAAATAAGTTTCGAACGAAAATAACAATATTAATCAAATTGAGTTGGATGAGTTATTTGTAAGTTAGGAAAAACGTCAATAAGGTATAAGAAGTAAATGTCAGAAAGATTTGAAATAAACAAAAACATTAAAAGAATAAAATAATCATTATGTTATATACAATTTTATTAACTATTTTATTCTATTATTTTATTTACTGTCTTATTTACTTCCAGAAATAAATTGCGAGTGAAAATAGAAAGTAAATTAAGTCGAAGTGGACGAGCTACTTTTAGGATAGGAATAAAGTAAACAAAGTTAAGAAATAAACCACAACATTAAAAGTACAAAACAGTTACTATTTTATTTTATTATTGTATTTAAATATTTCATTTTACTACTTTATTGAACTCTTTTATTTTACTACTTTAATTAATTACTTTATTTATTTCCAGAAGTAAATTACGAACGAAATTAAAAGATAAATCAAGTTGAGTTCAATGAATTACTTTCAGGTTAAAAATAAAGCAAACAAACCATAAGAAATAAAGGTTAGAAATAAACGAGAACATTAAATGTATAACAACCATTATTTTATTTATTTCCAGAAATAAATTAAGAATGAAAATAAAAAGTAGGTCAAGTCGAGTTGTGAATTTCTTTTTAAATAAAAACATAATTGTGATTATTTAGTATTATATAATATAATCGTGTTTATGTACGAAATTAATACTAGGTTTATGGACGATCGATGTGCAGTTACTTCTAAATTAAAAATAAAATACAACAATAAATACATAAGTAATTTTTGTTACTATATATTTCGAGTAAAGTGTCTTAATAATAATTAAGATAATCTTAAGATACCTTATAATTATTAGCACTTTGGATACCTTATCTTTTTTCAATGATTTAAAACGAGAAATTAAAGATGCGCCATTTTGAGATATTTCGTAAACCGAGTGTTAAATTTAATCATAAAATACAGTAATTAACAGCAATATAAGAAAATGAGAGCAGTTTCGAAGACTATTGAAGACTCCATTTTTACTACGTTGTTTTAATATTATTAATTATTATATTAATCTATGAATAAATATATGAATTACTAAACTGAATATTTTAAATTTTAATTTAATTGTATTTAAAATAGGGGCCAGTTATTGTTAATAATTTCAGCGAATTTAATTTCCAATTAAAGGAATAATTTAACAAGAACTAATTCTAAATAAGATATTGAAGAAATTAATAATTTCTACATATTTATAAATTGGAAATTAATTTTCAATTTAAATTATAATTCTTTTATCAAACTGTAAATAAAAGGAAATCTTGTGGAAATAATAATAATTCAAAATTTTTATTTCATTAATCATTATTATTTATCAAAATATTATAAAAATAATGACGTTTCAAACAATATTCTATTAAATTTCAATTTCATAACAAAATTAAATTAAATTAAATCTGTACAATTAGAATACCTATTTCAGTAGATAAATAATTAAAGATTACAAATTTTCTAAATTGATATTTAAAGATTATTTATTCTTAAATGAAAATTTTAAACTATTTTCTTATTTTTATATTTTAGTTTTATTTAATGTGCTCTACTATTTACTATACATACTTAATTTCATAGTACTTCATTTTATTCTATTTTTTAAATTCTACATTCTTGTTATGAAACAAGTATTACTTCCATTTCTTAATAATTACTGGTTCACATTTTTATTTCTCTTTTTTAAATTTCATTGTATTTTTAGATTTTCCAATTTTTACATTATGCAATTTGTCGACTTGAAAATAATTTTTAAATCACGTCCACAGATAATTCACTGTTCCTAACACTGATTTTAAAAATCTTCATAACTTTAATAAAATTATAATTCTCCTTATAAAAGTCAACATTTATCTTTAAGTACTAAGAGTACTAACATATTTAAATCCATAACAAAACTTAATACAAGAAAAAGTTATATTTCAAAAATGCTCTTTTTCATTTATTTCTGAAATTAGCAATTGTTAGTACTCCTTTCATTCCCACGCGTTATCTAAAACTACAGTTCGAAAATTTACGACAAGGAATGAAAACAAGCACTCGCAAGCGTGACAAAACTATAAAACAGTGTACTCAAACAGAAAGTGTTCAAAACTCGAAAAGCTTTCTGTCTAAAAGCGCGTATATTAATCGTGCCAGAGTAATTTGTTCTATACATAAAATTCTCCGAAGCAAAATGTGAAATGTGACGGAAATTAACATAATCGATAATCTAAACCAGAAAAACTTCAAGAAGAATTTTGGTACCATTAGGAGTTAATGTACGACGTATAATTATCTAAAAAAAAAGCTGAGAAAATTACGTAGAAAAAATGTTGGTGGTTGTCCAAAAGTGATATCTTCGCGAGATAAACGTGCAATTTTAGCATGCATCCAATTCCGCGTTAACTGCGAGACAAAATGGCTGCAGAAGCTGGTACAACAGTTGTGCGAGAACAATGCGAAGAATCAGAAAGAATTGTGAACATTTAAAAAGGAGTATAATGTTAAAATGCCTTTGTTAACGAATTGTGAGATACACAATTAGAAATTGTTAGATAATGGATGCATCGAAGAAGAAAATGGAGGATTTTTCTTAAATAAAAGAACGTCACGCTGGATACTCTACATTGTTGAAGTTATTATTTTTAAGGTTATGAATAGACGTAATTAAATTAGAAGAGGAGTAAGGGGATGTACTTACGATCTTATTCTAGTTTAGGTGATTATATTTAAGCAAAATATGTGAAATGCACATTTAGATGGAAATAAATAAAATTTAATTAAAATACCAGTAAATGAAAAAATGATGATAAATTAGAATGTGTAGGGTGATTCAATAAATTTTTGTTTTCTGACCCCTCAAAATTTTGTATATGGTGTACAAAAAATCTTTAACAAGTTTGAATTGAAAAATTGAAATTTGAGACTTTGCTAAGTAATAATTTTTAATTCTCTATCTTGATCAAATTAAAATTTTTATTTCTCCAAGTTCTAGAAGTAATGATTTTTGGTTCTTCAACTTCTTCAAGTTATAATTTTTATTTTCCTGAATTCTTTAAGTAACAATTTTTATTTCTTTAAATTCTTCAAATTGTAATTTTTATTTTCCCAAATTCATCAAATAATAATTTTTATTCCTTCAAGTTCCTCAAGTAACAATTTTTAGTTTCACAAATTCTTCAAGTAATAATTTTTGGTTCTTCAAGTTATAATTTTTATTTCTCTAAAGCCATCAAGTTAAAATTTTTGGTCCTATAACTTTTTCAAGTAACAATTTTTATTTTCCAAGTTCTTCAAGCAATAATTTTTATTTCTCTAAGTTTTCTAAGTTATAAATTTTGGTTTTACAAATTCTTCAAGTAACATTTCTTGTTTCTTCAAGTTCATCAGGTTATAATTCTTAGTTCTATAAATTCTTCAAGTAACAATATTTGGTTCTACAAATTCTGCAAGTTAAAATTTTTATTTCTCCAATTTCTTCAAGTTATAATTTTTATTTTCTCAAATTCTTCAAGTTATAATTCCTGGTTCTGTAACTTCTTCAAGTAATCATTTTTATTTTTTTTACTTCTTCAAGCTATAATTATTGACTGTAAAAATTGTTCAAGTAGTAATCTATATTTTTCCAAGTTTTTCAATTAACAATTTTTACTCATCCAAGTTCTTCAAATTACAATTTCTATTTCTCTAAAAATGATAAAAACTCATCAAGAAAAATATCTTGACCCACATACCCTTCTCTGTATATCTACAGAGAAATTGTACCATACAACAGACTTCGTGATTTTTTGCAATATTCTACACTTCTCTGACGTGTACAGCCATTTGCAATCACACTTGACTACATCTGTGCACATTATTGCTTCAAGGTTACTAGTCATATACTAAAGGCAAAATTTTCTTTTGTCGCATGCATTTTAAGAAAATAATATTGTCCCCTCGTACATTCGTCCCTGGGTGCATCATCTTCTATTGTCAATATTTGACCCGCAGATGTAGGACGTTTTTTCAGAAAAGCTTCGCATCTTCCGAGACGCAAAAACTTGAGAAACATCCAAAACCAAATTTCGAAAGAAAGATGGCGGGGACGCAATTAGTGCAGCGGGTAGTTGCCCTACTTTCGTTGTCCTAATTTCATTACAAATTCACTTTGCCAATATTACTGAAAGCAAGAATACAAAAATATTAGAATAATAAAATCAAAGTGAAATGCACATTTAGATGGAAATAAATAAAATTTAATTAAAATACCAGTAAATGAAAAAATGATGATAAATTAGAATGTGTAGGGTGATTCAATAAATTTTTGTTTTCTGACCCCTCAAAATTTTGTATATGGTGTACAAAAAATCTTTAACAAGTTTGAATTGAAAAATTGAAATTTGAGACTTTGCTAAGTAATAATTTTTAATTCTCTATCTTGATCAAATTAAAATTTTTATTTCTCCAAGTTCTAGAAGTAATGATTTTTGGTTCTTCAACTTCTTCAAGTTATAATTTTTATTTTCCTGAATTCTTTAAGTAACAATTTTTATTTCTTTAAATTCTTCAAATTGTAATTTTTATTTTCCCAAATTCATCAAATAATAATTTTTATTCCTTCAAGTTCCTCAAGTAACAATTTTTAGTTTCACAAATTCTTCAAGTAATAATTTTTGGTTCTTCAAGTTATAATTTTTATTTCTCTAAAGCCATCAAGTTAAAATTTTTGGTCCTATAACTTTTTCAAGTAACAATTTTTATTTTCCAAGTTCTTCAAGCAATAATTTTTATTTCTCTAAGTTTTCTAAGTTATAAATTTTGGTTTTACAAATTCTTCAAGTAACATTTCTTGTTTCTTCAAGTTCATCAGGTTATAATTCTTAGTTCTATAAATTCTTCAAGTAACAATATTTGGTTCTACAAATTCTGCAAGTTAAAATTTTTATTTCTCCAATTTCTTCAAGTTATAATTTTTATTTTCTCAAATTCTTCAAGTTATAATTCCTGGTTCTGTAACTTCTTCAAGTAATCATTTTTATTTTTTTTACTTCTTCAAGCTATAATTATTGACTGTAAAAATTGTTCAAGTAGTAATCTATATTTTTCCAAGTTTTTCAATTAACAATTTTTACTCATCCAAGTTCTTCAAATTACAATTTCTATTTCTCTAAAAATGATAAAAACTCATCAAGAAAAATATCTTGACCCACATACCCTTCTCTGTATATCTACAGAGAAATTGTACCATACAACAGACTTCGTGATTTTTTGCAATATTCTACACTTCTCTGACGTGTACAGCCATTTGCAATCACACTTGACTACATCTGTGCACATTATTGCTTCAAGGTTACTAGTCATATACTAAAGGCAAAATTTTCTTTTGTCGCATGCATTTTAAGAAAATAATATTGTCCCCTCGTACATTCGTCCCTGGGTGCATCATCTTCTATTGTCAATATTTGACCCGCAGATGTAGGACGTTTTTTCAGAAAAGCTTCGCATCTTCCGAGACGCAAAAACTTGAGAAACATCCAAAACCAAATTTCGAAAGAAAGATGGCGGGGACGCAATTAGTGCAGCGGGTAGTTGCCCTACTTTCGTTGTCCTAATTTCATTACAAATTCACTCCACCAATATCACTGAAAGCAAGAATACAAAAATATTAGAATAATAAAATCAAAATGAAAATCTTAGTATAATAAATGTTATTTATTTTGGTATAATAAATATTATTTATTTTACCATTGTAAATTTTGTTGTCCTAATTTCATTACAAATTCACTCCACCAATATCACTGAAAGCAAGAATACACAAATATTAGAATAATAAAATCAAAATGAAAATCTTAGTATAATAAATATTATTTATTTTACCATTGATTTTTGTGGACAAATGCGACAAATGTTGTCGATAAATATCGACAGAGCAGATACAATTGTCAATATTATTGATAACAGTTGAAATCAAAATATTCTTAATATCGATAAGAGGTTTATTTTCGAAACCGGAAAGTGTTGTCGATAAATGTTGTCAACATTGACAATTTATGCTGGATAATTCGACATTTATAATGAAGACGAAAATTAATTAACATTTTATTTCTAACATGAGAACATTTTTAGTTAAATGCATTTCGGTATTTTGGAAAAGTAAACGAGAGTATTCTGATGTTATCGATTTGATATTATGAGCTAATTAAGGAACAAAATTGGCCATTTTATCCGCCCATTTCGTACGAAATGGTGCTATTGATTGAATGAATACAATCTTGGAACGTGAATAAATCAACCCCTTTGATATTTAGTGCAAGATTGATGCCACCGTTTTAAGCATTTAAGACACTATACGTGTGCGTCATTTAAGAGACTATATAGTATGTAAATGTCCTCCAAAGCAGTGGCGCAGCCAGCATTTAATTTTAGAGAGTAAAATTGATCGAATAAAAATATCCCTAATACAAATAAGATGAAACTTGTCAGATGACCATGAAAAGTAATTTAAGAAACGAAAACTTGTTTTAGAAAATTTTTTAAGCGCCAGTAGTTAATTCATAATAGGTTATTTATAAGAAGTGTAGAGGATGTGATATAATACACATATGAAATTTTAATAGAAATAAGATTATCGGGAAATTTTTGTAGTGTTTTTGTCAGCTTTGTTTGGGGGAGCCCTTTGTTCACATTGTACGGCACTGCTTTGAAGGAGGGTTTATGTATGTTTCATTGTACTCTACATGTATTGTGATATTGATAAATGTTTTGCTTTTTATTATTTTGATATTATGAAGTACCTTTTGGAGCAGTGGTTAAGTCGTGGAGTAACTTTTTCTCGAAAGTGCAGTTACAGAATTTAGGAATTTGCACATTTAAAGATTTGTGAATTAGCTTGATGGCTTCTAAATTAAAAATTTCATGACTTGGAGATTTTAAATGTTGTAAATTTTGGAAAGTTGGATTATGAGGTTTTAGAAATTTTTGAAGTTGATTTGAAAATGTAAGAATTTGAAAAATTTGAAAAACTGAAAAACTGAAAAATTGAAAAATCGAATTGAAAAACGGAGGAATTGAAAATTGGGGAAATGAAACATTGGAGCACTGAAAAATGAGAGAATTGAAAAATGAAAGTAAATAATTGACAAACCGAAGAATTGAAAAGTGGAGGAATTGAAAAGCGGAGGAATTGAAATATTGTAGAATTTAAAAGTGGAGGAATTGAAACATTAAAGAATTGAAAAGTTAAAAAATTGATTAATGGTACAGTTAAACAAGAATAAAATAAGAATTGAAAAACAAACAAAAAGTGGAAAAGTTTGAGGAATTGAAAAGTGGAAATTTAAAGAATTGAAAAACTAACAAATTGAAAAATGGGGAAATTGAAAAATTGAAGGACTAATAATTGAGAGAATTGAAAAGTGAAAGAATTGAAGAATTTAGACATTGAGAAATGGAAGAATTGAAAAATTGAAGGGCTGAAAATTGGGAGAATTGAAGTGGAAGAATTGAAGAATTTAAGGTTGAAGAAATAGAAGAATTGAAAAATTGAAGGACTGAAAGATGGGAGAATTGAAATGGAAGAATTTAAAAATTTAAGGATTGAGAAACGGAAGAATTGAAAAATTGAAGGACTGAAAGATGGGAGAATTGAAGTGGAAGAATTGAAAAATTTAAGGTTTGAGAAATGGAAGAACTAACAAATGGGGAAATTGAAAAATTGAAGGACTGAAATTTGAGAGAATTGAAATACAGAAAGTGCTAAATTTCTGAATTTACTAACTACTTCTTAATTTCATAAATTGGCAACTCGATAATTTGGTTATTTAGAAATTTGATAAAATAATTATTCCGGACTTTAAAAATGACACTCTTAGATTTTTGGAAAATTTGGAAAATTAAAAAGTTGAAAATTTACAAACTTCAATATTTAAAAATATGGAAACTTGCATATTACAAATATGGAAATATAGAAACTTGCATATTTAGAAATATGGAAATACGGAATCTCACAAATTTGCAAACTTGCATATTTGGAAATATGGAAATGCGGAAGCTTAGAAACCTGGTAATTCAGAATTTACTGACCAAACAATTTATTCATACAAACATTTCAAATATTCAAGTTCAGATATTCATAAAATTGCAAATTTTGGAACTTGGTTATTCACAAATGCAAAAATTTCAAATTACTAAATTTTCGCATTGAGAAATTGATTACTTATTACTGCACTCGAGTGCATACTACGCGCGCGTTCGTGTTCCGCGTCCTCACGATCGTAATTATTCGTCAGTGCCCGCTCTTAACTATGGTCTGATTCTCAACCGCATTTCGCATTTTTATAATAATCCTTCATTATTCGTCATAAAAATGGTTGTAACACTACTAATGTTGGATTAAATCTCATAAAATCCATGAAGTCTCACAAGGTATAACCGTTCAGCATTCAAAATGAGTTTCGATATCGATCCTAACCTCGAAACTATTCTGTAAACAGGAAATTTGAAATGTTTACATACATTATTTACTTCCGCAATTAAACCAATTTATCTCATAATAAATGTTTTGGTTTCATTATTACATTTTCTCAAATGAAGAAATTATATTTTTGTGCAAAGGAAAGTGAAAATTATAAAAAAGGTAAAATGTCAAATATCTATAAACGATTAAGAATGAGACTAAGAATTTTATTTCTTTTCAGGCGTAGAATCGCTTTCCTGAGTTTGAAGATTTTATTCTTATTGATCGTTTCACGACCCCTTTAAATGTAAAAGGGTCAAATTTGTCCTGAAGGAAGTTATGAACAGGAAGAACTATTTCATGTGGAAAATATTTTAATAATTAAGTGAATATAAAATTAAAGAAATGCTAATAACAAAATACATTAAAATGTTGAAAAAAAGAGAATGAGTTTTTTGTCAAGATTGATTTTTAGGTTATAGCAGTTAATTATTTTCTCTTTAAATAATTTTTTTAACTTTGAAAATAAAAAGATACAATTCTGACAGTAATTATCAAAAGTAAAGATTAAGCATTATTTCCTGTTGCAATTATTTTTTGGAAGGGTCATCATTTAAAATAATTTATTTTAAAAAATTGAAAGCAAATTTAAAAATTCTTTAAACTTTTAAAAATTAAATTTGGAAATTTTCCTTAAAAATTAAATTTTCTAATCTTTTAGTAATTAAATTTGCAAATTTTCTTTAAAAATTAAATTTTTAAATCTTCTTTAAAAGTTACATTTCTCAATCCTTTTCAAAAATTAAAGAGTTCTCCTTTGAAAATTAAAAGAGAATTGTATAGTTCACCATGATAACTAAAATTAACTTATCACAATAAAAATTGAATTACTTTAAAATCAATTGTAAAGCAATAAGAAAGAAAGTTTGAGTGAAATGTTATTCTGCAATATATATTAATACAAAATAATTATTTTGCCAAAATATTATGGTTACAAGAAATTCTTATATAAAAATATTTTTGTCAAAATATTATGGTTACAAGAAATTCTGACATAAAAGAATTTGTGTGGAAAGTTTAAGGTTGCAAAAAAAACATTCTATTATAATTAATAAACATTTCTGAAAATAAATAAATAAATTTGTAATAAATAAATTTTGTAAAAGTTTTAATGTTGCAAACAAAATCATTCTGTTATATTAAATAAATATTTCTAAAAATTTTAACATCAAGAATTATTCTGATTGCAATAAATAAATTTTTTAAAAATTTTAAGGTAACAAAAAAGTCATTCTGATATAATAAATTATGTAAGAATATTACATTGCAAAAAATATTTTGTTAACAAATAAATGTTTATAAAAATTCTAACGTAACAAAAAATTATTCTGACATAATAAATAAATAAACTTGTTAATTAATTGCTAACCTGTTAAACCGACTAAGTTTTACATTCTCTCTCTTGTGTTCTACTTTATAGCAATTTTCTTTCTCGCCAACTTTTCTGCTTTTGAAGCTTTTTATCTTTATCCTTTTCTTCTTTTCTCTTCTCTTTTACTTTCCTTTAATTTCCTGCCTCGTACTAGTCCTTTTCTTTCATTTCCCAGCAGTTCGTCTAAGCTCCTCTCATATTCTTCGATCTCCTTACACCTTTTCATTAAATGTTCTAGCGTCTTTCATTCCACCTCGCGCAATGTACATAACCTATTTTCACCTTTTTCTCTATATTTGTTACCTCTTTCTTCATTTTCACATGTGAAGGGGTTATTCTAGTCCAGAATGTCATTCTTTACGTTCACTTTTTACAAACTATTTTTGCAAAGAGAACATAAGTGTTTTAGTACCAGCTTTTTGCACGTGGACTTACTTAGACCTTCAAGAATAAATAAAGTAATTTAGCGAGGTTCTGAAAGAAAAGTAGTCACAGTCATTCTTATTGAAAATTAAGAGAAAGAGAATGAAAGACATTCTTAATTAGTAGGAATGTTTAAAGAATTATGCATTTTAATGGTTGAATACAAAACGTTGTATTTAGTAACTTTAGGTTAACTTTCAAGTATTTCGGAAGATACTAGTTTATGAGGATTTACAATTTTTAAATATTGTTATTTTAAGATTTTCAAAATTGCAGTTTTAAGTAATTACATCTACAGAGTTGAAAAGTCTTACATTGAAAATTACAAATTTTCAAATTTTTAAATTTAAAAATTCCAAATCTCTAATTTTCATATTCTCAAATATTCAAAAATTCCAACATTACAGAAAGGCAAAACTCAAAAATCTAATTCCCCAAATTTTCAAATTTAAAAATTCCAAAACTATAAAATTTCAATATTCTCAAAA